CCGCGAGGGGAGCACGTGCCCCGCCTCCGCCTCCAGGCGAGCGGTGCCGGGGCCAGGCTGGGGTTATGGTGGGCGCGGGGCGGGGGTTACCGCGGATTAGCCCCAGGGCGGGGAGCGCTGCTCGGCTCTTCCGCGCCGGGCCGGCCGAGGGCAGCGGGGTCTGGAGTAGGAAGTGCCCTCTGGTGCCTGGTTTTCCTTTGTTTTGGGCAGCTAGGGGGTCTGTCTCGGGACAGCGCCGTTCCAACCCCCACTGTCCTGGGAAAATGAAGGACCTGGGCTTGTTTAGTCTGGGGAAAAGGAGACTGAGGGGACTTAATAGCAGCCTTTAGCTACCTGAAGGGGGTTGGAAAGAGGCTGGACCACCACTCAGTGGTGTTCTCAGTGGTGGCCGATGACAGAACAAGGAACAATGGTCTCAAGTTGCACCACGGGAAGATTAGGTTGGCTATGAGGAAAAACTTCTTCACTAGCAGGGTAGTAAAACACTGGAAGAGGCTACCCAGAGAGGTGGGGGTCTCTCCATTAATGGAGGTTTTTAAGCCCGAGCTAGACAAAGCCTTTACTGAGATGATCTAGTTGGGGCTGCTCCTGCTTTGAGCAGGGGGTTGGACTAGATGACCTCCAGAGGTCCCTTCCAGCCCTTACTTTCTATGGCCCTATAAAAATCTTGCTGCTGTTGCCGGCCACTTCTTCACAGACTCGTTTTATTTTCCTCCTGGCCTCTACCAAAGCAGCCGGGATGCTGCCAACCTTGAGAAAGCAAAGTTACAAGGCTTGTTTCAGAAGTGCTCCCCAGTAAAGGAGTCACGTTGAATTGAGTAATGGGAAGGCGTTGCCAAAAGTACAGGACTTGTCTTCACCTTTGGAACGTGCCCTGCAAATGAGAAAGCAAAGCCATTTCCTTGTAGTGGGTGGGAGGCTCCACGCTGTGCTCTGGTGCTGTTTTGTTTGGTCTGGCCTTAGAAACGTGGGGCTTGCCTGCTTTTTTTCCAGAAAGGTCCGTGGATGGATGGAGAGCGAGTAGGGTTATCATAAAAACAGAAGTGGAACCTGATTGAGGGGAAGTGAGTCATATTGTTCAAATGCATTTTTTGTCTCATGTAAGTAGCTAAGTAGGAGATTGGTTTGTTAAACATTCAGTGCTTCATTTCTCAGTTAAGGTCTAAGAATTCAGGTTCTCTGGGTCCTCTAGAAACACCTTCTGCAGATTTCCTCCCGGAGAGCTTGAATTCTGAAATCTTTATATTGCATAAACAAGATGGCACAAAGCCCATTTTTCCTTTGCAGGTCACCTTTACATGTGCGGATTTGAAATACAAATGTAAGTGAATTTCAGTAAGTGAATGAGTTCATGTCAAAAGGGCTATCAGAGGGGAAAAATACGTTTTGTAGGCCATAGAGGAAATAAGATCTTGTTAAAATGTATTTCCAACAGGCAGAAAGTTTCAGAGGATCTCTGCCAGCCTACTTTGGATCAAAGAAGTGTTTAGCAAGGGGGGGGAGAAAAACCCTGCCTTTTAATCAATTTGGAAATGTCTTCCTGTTAGGATTATGTAGATTACCAACATTCCAGGAACCTGGAAGTGCTACTGTTTATAAACAAAAATGAAATTGCCTTTTTCTCTTTTTGGACTAACCTGAGAAATTAAAGTAAATCATATAAATACAATTGAGCATTTTTTTTTTTTTCAATTTTACATTCAGTGGTCTAAGCATAGGAGCACAATAGTTTGGAATACAGTTGTTTGGAATACAGTTTTTCAAGTGTAGTCATTTGGCCATATCCGAGGAAGTCTGTTTTTTAAAGAAAAACCACAGGGTATAAATAATAATACTACCATGGTCATAATAGTTTAATCCAGTTAAGTGTTAGCAATAGAACAGCCCTAAAAAGAACATTGCAAGAAGAGAGCTGCAATAAACTGGTTTTATATTCACTTGCCTTGTGATAAGTTGGTGGCATGAGATCACAGAACAAAGGTTTTGTTTCCATAAATTTTCAACTTAAATCTATGATGCACAAAAAAATTATATTAAAAATACGTAGGTGAAATTGCCCTTACAGTTGTTGACACTCTGAAGGTAACTCCTTTGTGTAGGCTGAATATTTACAGTGGCGTTAGATGATTCTTTAACTGTGTCCACATTAGGGAAAAAGAGACATTAACATCTTGTTAAAACTTTTGGATAAATCATGTCAGTTTTCACATGTTAACAAATCAAGGTTATAACTGGGTAAAGGAAGCATAGGGTTTTTTTTACTGTTTCTGTAATGGGTGATAATATTTACCTACCTTTTCACACTAGATTTTAACATGGCTAACACATGGTAAAACTACTCTGCCCCCCACCCCCCTCGCCTTAGTGTGGTGAGGCACCTGGATATTCTGTACTCAGTAAACAAGTACAGAAAGGTTGAAGACGGTGTGGTCAACTGAGCAATATCCTTCAAGCATGCCTTCATTGTTTGGACTCTGATGTTTTACCTGTTAGCTTTAGTATTGCTTATGTTGAAGTTCTTGCTGTACCTATTTGAGAATCATAAATTTGAAAAAATCTTTTGGGCCTTCTGTTTTTAAGAACTTTCACTATGTGGGCCTCAGCCCACAACAGCATCTCAGCTTTCTGAAGGCTAAAACTAACCTTTAAAGTTTCACTATTAGTCTGCTTGGTAACAATAATTTTAGCAGAAATGTAAAGCTATTACAGTACTCCACCTTTTTTGGTTGGAGTGGCATGTACTAGTTTGGTGTGGGCTGGGTGTCCTCAAGTGTTGGGGAAATAGTATGTATAGACAGAGATATATATAAAGTGTATTTCTGTGTAGTATGTGGTATCTGTGCTCATGAAAGTCAAACATCTGTAGGCTGTATTATAAATACTAAAACAAGATTAAATGATCAGATTTGTGCCATACTGTCAAATGTAGCTGGGTGACCTGTGTGTTCTGATAGGTGTATTGCTGTTTGTATTCAAACAGTGCTGGAAGAAATAGAAACAAAACTTATGTAGGTTTCTGTGGTTCATGACAGTTTCCACTGATAGTGTACCGTAGCCTACAGTGAAGACAGAAGCAGGGAGGGATTGTAAATCCTGAAACAAGGTCTGGAGAGAATATACTTATTCAAAGAGATGTCATGGGTTTTAAAACACTAAGCTGATTGCCTTGATATTGGATTGTAGTGAGTATCACAAATGAGCGAGTGAAGAAAGGTATCTTCTTGTTGCCTCTATTTTTACCAATTATCCCTTTTACTAATTTTCCCCTTTTGTGGCCAGAGGTTTAAAAAAAAAAAAAAAGGCTGATCTCTTTTCACCATACCACTCAGTTTACATCTCATTGAAAACCTCAGAGATAGATGGCTGCATATCAGAGATACCTGAAATAATTATATTTGTGGGGAGGGCTTGCAGAGCTCTTTAACATGAAAGTATTTGTAATGTGAAACCGCTCAGATTTTGGATTTTATTTCCTATTTTTCAGTAAAATGATCAAAATTCAACATTTTAAACGTTAGCTTGTGCAGGTATGCTTCTGTCAACGATAACAGGTGTTTTTAATGCAATTTTCCTATTTCTCTTGCAATTTAATAAATATTTGTAATGGTTAAAAAAAATTCCACATCTTAATTTTTTATCACAGGCCTTCAAATTAGAAATTTAATTAGACACAAGTATCTTTTAGCCTTAAAGTCAGTTTTGTGGCCAGTTGTTTTGGATTGCCAATTACACAAAATAAAATAGGGTACTTTTAGCTTGGAATAGATGACCTCCAGAGGTCCTCCATTCTAGTTGTACTTTTCTATTATTCTGTCTGGCTATTAAGAGGTTATGCTAATGACTTGTTAAACCTTTTTTTTCCAGTAATAGAGTTCTAGAACTTGAGTATAAGGACACTAGTATAGATATCTCTCCTCAAGTAGTAAACCTGAATTGATACTTTTTGTTATATTTTTAATCTTATAAGTGGGTAAGAAAATACAAATAATGGCATCGTGAGTATGTAAATATCGTCAAATGATCTTGGTGGAAATAAGACTCTTGAAAATACATTTCTTTTTACCTTTTGTTCTTGACTCTTCAGCTTAACATTGAAAGCATGTTAGTCATTATCTGTTTTTTTTAAATGTGTGTGGCTCCTTGCTGCTCTAGATTATGTGCATCAAATGCTTTCAGATTTTACAAATCCAGAAATTAACTTCAGTTTTTACTAACCACTCCTTTGTATCCCTTAACTAGCCACCTTTTTCAGAACACTGGTATAACAAGCCTTGAAGCGTGTTCTGAAAGGTATTTAGTTTTTGACTTGGAAGGTCAGAGCACTAGCTGGGCCCCCAGAAACATGAAGAATCTTAAAAGAACTATCCAGTTTTGATATTGCCTAGCTATTTACAGAGAACCCATTTATTATTTAGATGAGCTCAATTTTGGACTTGAAAATGCTGCTCAGTGCCTAGGGGTGACAGCAGTTTTTAAGTAAGGAAGTGTATTTTAGAGCACTTTTTTCAGGGGGGACGACACAAATGTTAAGGCTGAAACAGGTTTATTTTTTAATAGTCCTGCTGTTGGCCTCTTGTAATTCTGACCATTCATCAAATGTGTTTTTCAGCATGTTGTATAATAGGGTCACACTTTGTTGAAGACCCAAGGAATAGCAAACCTTGCTTCTCTCATTCTCCAACAGGTGCAGAGCAGTGTAGATAAAAATCAATCATTTACTTACTTAGAGCAGGTGCATTATTTGCACAATTTTCAGGAAGATTTTTTTCTTCATCTAGACTGTACTTCTGCCTTAATTATGCATGTATTATACAGCAGTGTATTAGAAAGCTATAAGGTATTGTGCAACTCTTACATTTGCAAAGAGTCTCTCTGCCCTTGGATGAGGAATGAGTGCCATAAGTTTGACTTATGAGAGTAGATGAAAACTTTTGGTTTTAAAATGATTAGATTTTATATTACAATATAATGTTTTTGTTTGGTTGTTTGTTCTTTAAAGCAAATTTCACATAACTTGTTTATGACAAATTTGGTGAAGTTTAAGTAGTTTTAATAACAACTATTATTAATTTGAAAGTTTGTTACATGGTTTTAGCTTAAACCTGTTATTTATTAGTTTAAACTAATATAAAAGATACGCAATTAGAACAAAAATGAGTTTGCACTCATTTTTGCAACCCCTAAGTCTTTTATAAAAATGGGTTTAAGATCACAATTTAAGATTAAGCCAATATGTATTCAAGATCTTTAAAAATGTGGAAGGAGATATATACTCTTACAAAAGAGTACATGATCAGTCTTCCTCAAACTCTGTCACCCTTGTGAGCTAGGCCAAAAGGGACCTCTTGGGCTGGACCTGCCAGTGGTGAGGTTAACACAGCTGTTGCTTGTGCCCCTTCCCCATCCCCCAACACATTGGGTTCTGTTGCTTGGAATTTGGCAGCAGACCCTGGAACCATAACCAGCTGGCACTAGTGAAATGGTTCTGCAAGCTGGGTATGGCAGGTTGTGTGATCATTTGGGGAACATCTGCATTGCTACTGTCACAACCCAAAGGGTGTGATTTTTGTTTTTGTGTGCTTCGGCACTGCTAAATTGTCCCCGCTAAATTGCAGCTTCTTTGCACGGTGGAGTTTTCTGCTGCAAAAGAGAACCCCGGTGCAAGGGAGAATTTCCCGCCAATTTGAAGCTTTCTTTGCAGGGTGCATTTCTTTGTTGCAGCACAGAAATGCTCGTTGCAAAGAGTTCCCGCCATTTGTATGCTAATTTGAGTCCCATTATTGGCCAGTTCTAAATTATTCACACGTGGTGGCTAGTGATTGGCTTGCTAGCCGTATAAGAGGCTTGAGTGGTTTCCGCCCAAGTTGGAGGACTCCACGAACACCGGGAGGAGGAGACTTCACGCTGTGTGAAGATCTCTAAGAGCTGCGGATCCTTACAGACCCAGCGCATTTGAAGCAGGCAACAGAGGTCTGATCAACCTCTAGCCTCTCCCCGTCGCCGATAGATTCCTAGACATATCCCCTCCCGCGCGCAACGAACTGGACCCACGGAGCCTAGCAAACTTCGTGTAGCAGAAGGACCCACGGAGCCTAGCAAACTTCGTGAGAGCCCTTGCCGGACGACTCCAGAGCTCTTCTACCCGGGTTCGAGTCCTGCAGGTTTACTTTCCTGTCGACGAAACCCTTTGCGACGTACCCTCGTATTTTCATCTTCCCGTCGCCAGAACCCTATGCGATGTACCCTCGTGCCCTGCAGGTTCGAGTTTTGTTTTCTTTTCTCTCTGTAACCGCAACTTAAGCAAGCTTTCCAGCCTACACCACTGCCATCTCGGTGCAAGTAAACAATCTTTTAAAACTACCGATACGCGTCCGTGCCTAATTCCAGCTCGAAGGCCTTCCCTCTCTGCCCCGGCGTGCCCGGGCTGCTGGCCACAGCCTGCGTGCAGCGCGAAAAGGGCTCGGGTCGTTCCCAGCCCGCACAGCTACCACCCTGACATACATGTGCTGTGGTTTTCATTATTGGTAAGCCCTTTATCACTTAAAAATAAAAACCCCACATATCCACATAGTAGAAGTGGTTCTTAATTGTCTTTAAATGCAACTGCTCTCTCAACCATTAAAAAAAATTAGAGTTTTGACTGATGGTGCTTAATTTCTGGCAGAATAACATCTACCATTAGTTTCCCAAATCCCGATTTATTTATTTTTTTTCCCTCTCTTTCCCCCACCCCCCTTTCTTTTAGTGTTTCTTTTTATTTTGTTAATTATTTGTAGTATTTAATTGTTAAACTTCTAATTGTATCTAAAACTAATGTATTATAAAATGGCTGTCAGTTATTAATAGGGTTGCAGCAATAAAGATTTTCTTGGCTGATACCAATAGCCAATTATTAACCAACTGTATCAGGCAATAACAATTGGATAGCCAATTTAACTAAATTAAACCTTTTTTGGTGCACTCCAGCAGTCTCCTACATCACATGTATCAGTGTCCCAGCGCTTAAAAATGGCGAAATGGCGGTGGGATGCTTGAACTGAAGCTTGTCAAATGAGCTTTAATTCATGCACTGCTGCCACCGTTTTTAAGCACAGGGACACTTTTAAGTAGAGCGAGGTGAGGGTGAATATGGACTGCCCGCTGTGGGATCGGGGCTTTCTGCCCTGCTGCCTTTGCCTAAGGAGCCCCTTGCCAGCCGTGTGTCCTCTGCCCGCCCAGCAGTGGGGCGCATAACTCGCCACCCCCACTGCTGACAGGCAGGCAGGGGGCATATGGCCAACACAGGGCTCCTGAGGGAAAAGCAACAGAATTGAGAGCCCACAGTGAGCATCCTTTCTGCCCCATGCACAAATCTTGGGGGGCCCATGCCTCTCCTGGGAGGTATGCGCAGTAGTGGGGAGCAGCCCCCTGCACCCCATGGATAAGTCACTTGTGGCTCTTTCCCACTCCCCTCCCCCAGATCCCATGCACCACCCTGGCTGGGTAGTGCCTCCTGCCCCACTCCCTTCCTCACTGTGGGGGCCTTGATCTGCCCCCTCCCACCCACCCCTTCCCTCCATAGACCTGCCTGCAGGGAGCTGCTCTCCACGCTGCCCGACTGTATTTCTGGCCATGTGCGTGTGTGAAGCCGCACACATGCATGCAGTGCCTCCTGCTCTTGCTCCTGGTAGCCCCAAGCAGGACTGCTTGCAGGCTAGAATGCTGCCCACCTGCTCCTGAGGGAACCCAGGCATATGGGGGCGCCAGCCCCACAGAGGCAAGGGAACCCAGGTGTCCAGGGCCCTGGTCAGAAGGCACAATTATCAGTAAACCTTATCGGTTACAATATCTAGTAATGTCATTTCCCCTTTAATCGGTGCCAATCCAATAGGCTATCAATATATCAGTGTACCTCTAATTGTTAAAGTTCTCTTTGCATTTGCTGTGGCCATATAGGAACAGGATGTCATCTAGCTATACCATATCTTAAGCTTACTTATCATCACGGATTGTTGAGATGGGGGTTAAGTATTCAAGAGCATATAATATGATTCAGTAAACTAGAAAAGAATACTCTGGTTGGTGGGGGTCAGAACTTGTGCTTTTAAAATGTCATTGTACATAAACCATAAAAACCGTTTTTGAATTTAGCTATCTGCTGTTTTTGGATTTCTTAATAATTCCTAGGTTTACACATTGACTGTAGAGTGCTAGATGGTTTGTGATTTCTCTTAAATTTCTTCAAATATGCTCCAAACGTAGTGTTATATTTGCAGATTACCTTAAAATTCCTTCATTTATCTGCATGTACTTTGCATTTAAGATTCTGTTTACTTTTACAACTGGATCAGCTATTATCTTTATTCTAGTACAGTAATCAGAACTAGTTGCATCTTTTTAATATTTAACAGTTGATGTAAAAATTAAAGGTTAGCATGAAAATCTCTTTAGTATGCAACTCATAGCTTCTAGAATGAGAAGCTACTGCAGCTAATTCTTAATTTGATTAATCTATAATATAATGATCTTTCGGTGTCATTCTGTATGCCACTTTGCTTGCAGGGTTTTTGGTTGTAGCCGTGTTGGTCTAGGGCAGTGGTCTTCAACCTTTTTAAAGTGAAGATCACTTTTTTGAAGTAAAGGGACAACCCAGGATCTACTATGCGCCCTCCCCTGCAGCCACCCGACCTCCCCTCCCAGCACTGCTACCCACTCCAAGCCACTGCCAGGAAGAGCCCGGTAAAGCCCCAGCCCACAGCAGGAGCCCGCCCTGCCCCGCATGCAGATGCGGGGGCACATGCCCCCTGCACCTCTGGGCTCAGTCCTCCCACCCCCCTGGGGCCCCACGTACCTGACCCCTTTCTCCTGCCTCTGCCCCGCATCCTCCCTCACTGCAGGTGCCTCAATCTGGGCCCTCCCAGCCTCAGATCGACTCTCTGAATCTCCGAGATCAACCAATTGCGATCAACTGGTTGGTGACCACTGATCTAAGGACATAGGCAGGCACGCTTCTTTGGGTATAGATGTGATATCTTTTATTAAACCAGCTGAGCAATTGGAAAAAAGTTCTTTGCAAGCTTCTTTAGGCCTAGGGGAGTCTCTGCTGTATGCCACTTCAGCTTTCCCACACAGTTCCACCTCCCCAGGTGAAGTCCTATCTAGATTTTTCAAGCATCTTTATAAGAATAATTACTAAACATTAGCTCATCTGTTACTACCTGAACATACCTACAACAGTTAGTCCTGTCTACATATTGCTAATAGTAATGTTTCAGTTGCTTTGTATACAATATCTGCTTATATGATATGTCTTTTATCGGTTTTCTAAACATTTTGACTGTAGTTGGCAATTCATGTTGATACAGGCAATTTTTGGCCACCTTGCTTGTTCATACTTTAAAGGTGGGGGAGAAGAAGAGGAGTAGAAGTTTATTTCAAATTTTTCTTGTTAACTGACCCAGCTTCTTTTTTTCCTTTTCTCAAGTTTGTGATTGATGCCATGGAAGAAGCTGGATTTTGCGAGACTGCCATCAGTACCCAGGTTCAGTTGGTGAATAGCAAATGTGCTGAATCTGATTCAACTTTACAGCATCCACAGTCCAATTGTGATGGCATGGAAAGTACAGGTACATTGGAAGAGGAAGACTATATCCCTAAGAATGGGAAGCTGTTGGGATCAACATGCTGTACTCGAGAAGCGCGTGAGGAGACCCCTGGAAGAGAAGAAGCCCGTACTGACCCACCTGATGGCCAACAAGATCCAGAGAGTGACAAAAACAAAGAGAAAACCTTAGGTATGCTCTGCTTAGGGAAAGGGAAGAGTGGCTTTGAAACTAAAGCAAATTGAAATGTTGAAAAACAGGTGGTTTAAATGTTTCCTTATGGTGTAACTTCTTATTTTGTCCACAAACTCTAACTCGTTCTCATTATCTTTAATTTTGTCCTCGCGGGGGGGGGGGTGTTTGTTTGTTTATCATGTTGTTTTGGAGGAGATGGGAAAGTTTCTAAAGGATCACTGGTTAAAATTAAGTAAAAATGTGTTGCTTGTCAATATGTTACCGTGTATCTCCACATTTTTTAATCTAATACTTACCACTGTGATGTTTAACTTTCTGGTTGTTGAACTGTACTTCAGTTAGTCATTCTTCAGGGAACTCTTTCAAACTATTTTGTTGTATGAATATTGCTTCATGAATATTTATTTTAGAAAAGAATATTTTCTATGTTTTATTAATAAAATACTTGACTTTTAGACCTTGGTTTTCAAGATTCTTTCCATCTTCTGAAATAAATCATGTAAGGCAAAGAATTCCTTGTGGTCCAATAATTTGTGCCTTTAAACTGTGTAGTTACATATACAAGAGTTCTAATTACATGTGTTCACTTACCTTGTAGTGGTAGGGTTAGAGTGTTGGTGTAGGCAGGATGGTCCAAGAAATATGAGAGGTAAGGTTATATCTTTTATTGTCTTAGTTGTATAGTTGGGAGAGAAGTTAGAAAAGCTTTTGGGCACACCCTTGCGTATCTTGTAGTGAACTACTAGTTGGCATCCTTTAGTGGAAAATTATGCAGCTACTATACTGAAGTGCAATAACAGTAATTTTCTTCTACGGATAAACTGCTCTTACAGTGTTTTTCAATATTTTGGATTTTTTTCCATCCATAGGAAAAGAAGTGCTATTATTGATGCAAGCCTTGAACACGCTTTCTACTCCAGAAGAAAAGTTGGCAGCTCTCTGCAAGAAATGTGCTGATCTTGTAAGTAATATGTACAGCTAAGCATAGCGAGTGTACATGTCTAACATTGTAGTAGCTGAAAATTTACCTTGGAGAAACCATTATAGTGTTCTTTTGAAGAGAATGAATGGATGTTATATAACCTGGAATACTAAAGTGGGGGGAGGTTGTGGGAGGCGTGGTTTTGTTTTGTCTTTTTAAATACAAAGGTGTTTGAAGCATTCAGGCTCCTTACAGGTGCTGTTACAGTCAAAACACTTAAATCGCTTCTGCTTTTACCTGTCTGAACGAGTTGCCTTCTACAAACTAAACAAATTTAATTAGTATGCTGATATTGAAACTTTCTTTGTGTTGTATTAATATTAACAAAACCATCATCTGGAGTTAACTGCAGTTTTCTAGAGATGGATGATAGGAATATGGGAAGGTTCCATATTAGATATTGTTTTAAATGTGCTTATTGATGTGGATGTACTAACTGTTTAGTTCAGAAGTGTCAAACTCACCCTCACCTTACAGTCCAGATCTGAATCCAATGGCAGTTAATGTGGTTGTTGCTTGCCCCGCCACTACAGAAATGCATCCCCAACAGGGCTGTGTACTTGGAAATTGAGTGGTAGGCACCAGTACATTGGTCCGGTATCAGATCAGCACCAACCTAAAGAAAATTGTCTGTATGGGAAATTGGCCTGATTATGTCCAATAATTTGGCTGCTAAGGCCAAGAGAGCATGGCGTGGGGGCAACATGTGCCCCCACATCTGCGCGGGGCAGGATGGGACCAGGGCTGCGCCAAGCTCTCACCAGTGGGTAGACTGAGCTAGACTGCGCTTGGGGCAGGCGGTGGCAGTGCTGGGAGGAGGCTACGGTGAATTTTGCGGTGGCTGCAGCTCCCCCCGCCTCAGCCCGCCCCACCCATGCCCTCCCAGATGAGCAGTGGGAGCTACCGGGTGAGCTTTGTGCAGCTCCAGGAGTCACGCCCCTCCCCCCCTTCCTGTGCCCCCTGGACAAGCCACAGCTCTGTCCCATGCCCCACCCTACCCTGACTAGTCAGCATTTGCCCCAGCCCCACTCCTCCCTCACTGCAGGGGCCTTGATCTGCCCCCCCCCCACCGCTTCCCTACCCTTCCACCACAACAGATTTACCGGCTGCACACAGCTCTCCAAGCTACCGGGCTGCATATCGGAAATTGAATTGGTATCGATCGATACGCCTCCTTAAAAATCAGTTATCAGTATCAGCCCCAAAAAATCTCTATTGGTGCACTCCTAGCTGTAACCACACTAAACTGTAATGGAAAGAAACCCGGATGGCATAAAAATGGTGTAGTCTCCCTCATTACATTGTCAACTATGGAGAGAGATGTTTTACAAAGCAGCCTTGTGAATATGTATGTAGTGTCGTAACATTCTGGAAAAGTTGAGTTCCTGACTCAATTTAGTTTTTTACTTCAGTGGTTTGGTTTGCTACTTAAGGGTCAGAATGCAGCAGGAGAAATAACTGTTCTTATAATGTCAACAAAAATAGTGACTGGGAACAAAACTGGACTGAGTCTGAGAGAAACATTTCCTCCTGTATCTGTATTCAAATCTGTTTTTAATCCTCAGTTCTTTTTAGATGTTTTTAGTGCAGCCCTCCAGGAAAGTCCAACTTCATCCAAGTCTAAAGACCATGTTATACTGTTGCAGAATCATGAATTGGTTAGAATTCAAGTTACTGTGGACAGGGGCCATTTTTTTGCGAGTGATCAGTTCTCATCTCCTAATCATGATGGCCAACAAGCAGTGTGGAATGAAATCTTTCCTGCAAAAGGAAGCCTAACGTCTGTTGTCAGAATGATAGTACCTCTAGTGCAGCTGACTTTTACACATCAGGGCAAGAGAACTTTAGTCAGCTTTCTAATCGGGGAACAGTTAAATCATGAGAAGTTTGAATCTCTCTAACTGCAAGGTTTTGTCCACCTTTTCTTTCAAAAGGAGGTATCCAGAAGCCAATATGCCTTCTCCCAGAGGTGACTTTCCAATGACTACTAGGGATGTAAACAGCGTTTAAAAAATTATTCGTTTGACCTCCTCTAATTACATTGGTTAAATGGTTAACTGATAGCACATACATAGTTTAGTGGCTTCTTGCAGGAATGGCCCAAGCCCTGGCCCCAGCCCCTAATGTCTTCACTGTGCCGCCAGTGCTGTCTGGACCCCAGGTTGCTGGCAGGGAGC